TCGCACAAGTGCGCACTCAAGCTTTGGAGCGGATTTGTGAGTATGTTACTTATATGGGAATAGTGGACACGGCTGATTGTGCATTGAGGAAGGCGAAAACGGAAGGAGAGATAAGAATGCCTGGATTCGCGGATCCCGTACAAATTCGTCTTTGCTCTTTTCTCCAAAAATATTTCGGGCTTGCCCTTCGGAGATCTGTTGCCGCTACTGTGGATTCCGACATCTTGCTTGTTCCGAGTTCGAAAGTTCATGCAAAACATGCTTTTGGAAAAAGTTGATTGTTTCAGTATATTCGATGATGATTTTTTCCATAGTGCAAAGTGGTTTTTGAGCTTTTTCCCTGTTTTTTAGGGGGTTTGCAAAAACATTTCTTACCTACTCAATTTTGTTTGTCACATAGCTTTAGAGAAAAGGAAAGCGTCAGTATTGCCAGTGAATCCTTTGAAATCCATCCTGAAGACTGCAAAACCACAATCGAAGGCATACCACCGTTTAAATGTCGTTTAAGAGTTTTGTTACAAGAAAAAGATGGGATATAAATTTCAGAAGCTATCGAACCTATAGGAAAACCCAGTAGCTCACTCTCTTTGGAGAAATCTGTTATAATATCGAACATCCCTCTTTTTCCTATGTCAACCTATCTCAAATTATTCACGCGTTCAAATTTCACCAATTAGCATAATGTGAGGCCGTAACAATAAATGCGCTAATGAACGCAATTTTACGTATACAAGTGGGAAACATAGGACAACACGTTGTTGCCGTCGGGCGCTACTTACGTGACTAATTAGCTGGAAGGTATAATTTAACAGGAAGTGCGGAGATCTCTTGTTCAAAAGAAAGTGATAAAGCTTAGAGTCTTACTCTTCTGGGAACATATATATGTCAAAAAAGTTCGCTTAGGACAAATTAGTGTGATGTTGAGGGCTGATTTCAAATTTGCCTTTATTATCGGTACTTTCTCAAGAAAGTTACAAAAGTTTTTCTCTGGCAAAACAGCTTGTATGAACTGTAAGTAATACAAGGGGTACGAAAAGTCTCGTGCATTGCTATTTTACCTCATATTGAAATTCACAAAACTCACAGCCTAACGCTATTTTGGAAAAGGAAAAACGTAAACTATTTTCAAAGAAGCATTCTTCAAATAGCTGATATCGACATCTCATTCTCAGTTCGCGAGGTCACTTCAACTTATATGGGTTCCGTGGTGTTCAGAATTCTTAAGCAATTTAACTAGAGCTTTTTCTAGTTTACCGGCAATTATAATATCATCGTTGGCTATACACGTAGGAGAAAGTTTGTACTTTATGTGGATACCCTCAAGTTATCAGTTTGAAAAACTTTTTTTATATCATGATATCACGCAGCTTTAGAACTGAAAAAAG